GAGTGAATGACATGCTGGTAGACATCATTGTAGTTGCTGCCCAGCTTCAGGACCATCTCCAACTAAACGGCCTCTTTAAGAAATTCCAGTCCGGTTTCCGTTCCGCCCACAGCACTGAAACAGCTCTGGTCAGGGTCACAACTAACTAGCAAGTTAACCGAACGTTAGCGGTTAGCTGTTTATGCTATGCTAGCTGTTGGCTACTGAACATTAACAAACTAGATTCCGGATGTTGTGGATGTTTCAAATGTAAACGACAGGCGCGGACAGTTCTCATTGGCAGGTTTCTTCGATTACGCTTAACCAATCAGGAGTGTTGTGGACTCATTCCAAACATGCCTGACTTGCCTGCTGTGTTCTGGCTGAATTCTATTTCAAGTGCCGTAGCTCTGGCTGTCGGCCAGAATCCGAAAACCATACATTATACTGTAAAACTAAGGTTTATTACTGTATATTGACCAATGGAAAAAAAACACAGCAACAGAACACATAAATAAAACAAGGATAACTGTGACTTATTGTTGAGTAAATAACAGTGTGTGTTTTAAACCTTGGTCCTCCCTGCAGAGATTTCTCCACTTTCTATGCTTTTATTTTTTTTTAATGATATTGTCAACTGTAGATGTTTACAATATAGTAAGTTAGGAATTTAATGAAAACATATTTATTTACTTTTGTTTCAACATTGGATATTTTGTGTTTGTGGTGGATTCAATGTAAAATGTTTTACTTACATTTTAAGTTTTTTTTATTTGACGCTTTTTTTTTACAGTTTTATGTTTACCTTAAAATTACAAAGAAATATCTTAAAGTTTTATAATAGTAATACACTTTTATATTGCGAGTTACATATTTAATTACGGATAATACTTTTTATTTTACGTACATCTGCATGTATTTTCTGAAAGTGCAAAAATACTGTAAATATTATATAGTACATTTACTGTAAAAAAAAAAGAGGAAATAAACGTTATTTGTTGTTATTGTCAAAATACTTAAAATAATGTTTTGGGTTGTTAATTTATAGTTAATATCTGTCATTTTACAGGATTTTGCAAGTTATTTAAAAAAACATGATAATTACTATAAACATTTACAGTTATTTCCTGTAAAATTACGATCTTTTTTTACAGTGTACCCCACCTTTTATAGTGTATTCAATAGTTTGCTTTGTTTCAGTCAGTCTGAAAACCAGTAAATATAAATACATAAATCATTTGCTGTTAAATATGTGGCTCATCACTGAGCCGTAGCACTAATCCAAGTTCTGTTTCAGCGGGCAGTCTGCAGCCGGAGACTTCTCCATCTCCTCTTCCTCAACTCTCATGGAGATCCTGGAGGCCATCAAACATCCCACGTAAGATCTGTTCTGTGTTTCTGGCTTTCCATTTGTTGTCATTTGTTAAGTTAATGTGGGGCAGTTATTCTACACTGTGTCTCGAATATTTAAGCTTCTACTTATTTAAAACATTAAAAAGTTCAAGTTATCATAATCAGAATGCATCTTGCTACTATAACTAGTATGTACTAAATGCAAATATAATGTTATGTTTAAAAAAATCATCATAATGCAAAAATATTTCTTTGATATCATTTCTTTTTTTTATGTTATAGGAATGTTTTTTATTGGAATGGGGTTATACATGTAAAAGAGAAGAAATTGGTATTTTATAGAACCAAAAAACAAAACATACCTTGAACCCAGAAAAAAACGTTTGTTTTTGTTTCTTACTAAATTAAAGTTATTATTATATCAGGCCCTTGGGTTTGGTTTAACAAAGTTATTGCTGTTCTAAATGTTTGTGTGTGCTCTCTGTTACAGGACGGGTGTGCAACTGCTGCCGGAACAGAAAGGACTTCCAGTCAACTGCTTCATCAGCGCGGAGGTCGTTCATTGGCTGGTCAACAACGTGGAGGGCGTGGCCACACATGGGATGGCTGTGGACATCATGCAGGTAACAGTCCTACCTGTTCAGAAATGTCATGGTCAAGGAAAGCAATGAGGGAGAATTCATAACAAGTTAAAGGTATTACATCTTTTGCTAATAGATATAATTGATATCTTCACACAAATACCCAGATCTCGGCCCATAGAGCATGCGCACTTGTGTTTTCCTTCAGCCCCGCCTCCCATCCGCTGATTTATTTTTCCAAATGTAAGGTGGAATAGGGATTTCACAATATTCCACTGATCAACAGGTGGCTGTATGATGCTAAGATATGCCACTATAGAAAAGCAAAGAAGAGGAAACCTTGCGTTAGTTAGCTCTAGATGTAAATATAACGATAGTTACGAAATGTAACTACGGTTCTATGAATTCTGGATGAGCGCCAGAGGCAGTGTTTAACACTCAAGGTTATCCATCTCGCGCATGCGCAGGTCGAGTATTTCATATCAACAAAGTAATATGTTGCCCACGTCACCATCAGAAATGTCTCAAGGGAATCTTCTCGCCAAGATTCCGAGTGACAGAGAACTCTGGCGGTCATCCAGAATTCATAGAACCGTAGTCACATGCGTAACTATCGTTCTATTTCATTCCTATTGACCGCCAGAGGCAGTGCTTAGCACTGGAAGATTATACCAACATAGCCACGAGGAATCCAGTACCCACCTTACCGGGAGCAGCCTGCGTGGGAGGCAGCAACATTGACCCAGTAAAAACAGGCAAATGTGCAAGGTGAAGCCCAGGACGCCACGGAACAAATCTCACTAATACCTCATTCACACCAACGGTGTTTCAGGGCCGGTTCGGAGCTGGAGCTTGAAAAGCACCGGGTTTTCCTGTTCACACCGCAGCGGAGCAGCCTCTTAGCTCCGGAATCTGGTTCGTTTCAAGCACCAAAAAATTGTCCGGCTAGAGCAAAAGCACCACATACGTCACGCTAACGTCGAAGTGGGGGAAGGGGCAGGGGCGGGATCAACTCCTGAACAACAACAAAAAGCCGGCGTTTTATCCAGTTTGCACACAACGATGGAGAAACTTAACAAGCAGCAGTGGTCCACTGAAGATACCAGCTACCTACTGGGAATCTGGTCTTCCGAAGAGGTACAGAGGAAGCTGGAGCACAATCGGCCATTGTTGTTGTTGTCGGTGTGAGCTGTGAGGGGTTTCCGCGCAGTTTGGCTTTATGAAGCAGGCACGCAAACGGTTACGTCATGACGCAAACGATGACGCAATGACGCAGCACCAGTCGGACTCTGGGCGTTGTGAAAAGAGCCGGAGCTAAACCGAAGAACCGGTTCTGAACCTGAAAAGCTCTAGCACGGAGCTTGAACCGGTGTTGCGTTGGTGTGAATGAGGTATTAGGGAAGCGCAAATCGCCATAACAAATATACATTTCACATGAGATACAACAGCATTTTTGATTCAATATACCACAGATGACTTGTAATTTGTCTGTATTTCAAGTAATGACACAAGTTTTTCTTACAGGATGCATATTTTTATGTTCATTGCACCACATTATAGACATATAAAAGTTAATTGTATCCTATGCAGAGGCCACTATGAGATCTTTAAAAGAGCCATATTTTCTTTGTGCAAAAAAATACATTTAGTCAAATCAGCTTTTTCCTCTGTTCCTCTTATTATATATTGCTACAGTATATCCATTTTACTCCAGAGAGGATGATATTTTTATGGTGCTCACTAGTTTATGATATTTCCATTTTTATAACACTTTCCCTTTATTGGAATCTCTCTAATACACCAGGGAATGGTAAACACTACATCTTTCTTTACAGGATCAGTGGAAATTCAGGATTCTTTTGGATATTAGTGTTATCGTAGTCAAGAAAGGGCAAATGAGCTGTAACATTTAGTGTTTATAGAGTTAGTTGAAACCATGAGATAGTCTCAGTACGAGACCTACACAGTAAGGAGAAGTTTACAACAGGCTATTTGGGATGAATTTGGGATAATGCATTAAGCATCTTTCATTACTAAAAGCAATCCCAAAGTGCTATAGCAGGTGGTGCAGGATCAACCAGCAACATGTACAACAATTAACTTTGTGCAAATTAGAAGACATTCACCTGGAAGATCTATTGATTTTCTAACAAAGAGAGTAAAGAGATGCAGTGATAGGCTAAGGGATTTTGTCTTCATGTGTTAAAAAACCTTGTCGGAAGAGAAGGTTGTTTCAAGAATTATTCGTTTGTTCTTCTCCAAGATTACACACGCAGCCACAAATGAAGTGCTGCTTGGCCCAAAGTGGGCCAGCGAACACAAATAAATATTTTCAGTCACACTTCAAGGCTAAGATCAACGTTCAACAATCCTAACAGTACATGCTTTACCTAGTGACAACATTTTAATGTTAGTACCAGATATTCTTACACAAGAATGTGTGGTTTATTTCGTGAAGGTTCTGTGTTATTTGGCAAAAAAATCTTTAATAACACATTTCCCTGAAATTATCTATTTTAAGACCATTGAAAATGTGTTTCTATACTGAAATGCATGAACCAGTTGTAAAATGCTCAGCGGTGTCAGGCGATGAGTCCTTCCTGGATCCTCAGACTTTTGCACGTTTTAGAGTAATATATAAAGTGCCCTGCTTCTAAAAACTAGCGATAGGATGGTTGTTCTTCTCTGGCTTTCTCCGTGTGGTCACTCATTTCAACGGTGGGTTACAGCTGCTCTGTTTTAGCCGTGGCTCCCAGGCTTCTTGCGCGTCCTGCGGTTTGGTATCACCCAAAGGTGTCTGATGCATTTGGCCGTCGTGCTCGGGTGGCCTGCCCTGCGGTCACCCTCTGTTTGGGTTTCTGCTTCATGCTCAGATTAGCAGCTATCTCCACTGGGCTTTGGCTTTTCCTGGAAGCAGGCTCATTCATTGAGTATTTGCTTATGTTTCAGTGTGAACTGGCACACTCTTCCGCGTTCCAGATAGCCTACGCTCTTAATGGTTCAGCCCGGTGCCAGGAGCCATAGTGTACTTCACTAAATCTCCAACTATTGATTTACAATATCAACTACGGATGGCAAAACCCCTTAAAGCTGTATCGATATCAGGTCTCATCAAGCATAAACACAACATTTCTAAAGCCCATAATCAAGTCAAAGACTAGCTATATTTGATACAGAGATTATTGTGTTTATTTATGTACATTTACATGTTTTTGGCCCTTTTTTGTGTCTGGATAACTCACTTTGTTTGAGCTTTTTACTTATTGTCGTCAATAGCTATTGTGTCTTTATGGCGTTTGTTGTGTCTGTGTGAGACTTATGCATTTTCAACCCAGTCTCACGGCATTTCATCATTTATCTGCAATTGACATGAATGGAAACGAGTAATAAAGTATATTCATTACTCGTTATTCTCTACTAATACTTAATTAAAGACTGTATAATGGCCATTTTGCACATCCCTTTCAAGATGTCAAGATTTTCTAAGGTTTATTGACATATCATATACACAACTACGGTGTAGTTATGCAATGAATGAAAAACTTGGGTCACAGGTTCCTCAACAGTGCATTACAAGACATCTACCAATATGTGTGTGTACCTCCACCGTTAAACTGTCATATTCTGCACATTTCTTATACTATCTACATACATAAGAGTATAATTCATATGTATAATATCAGTTAAAATAAGTGCTTCAACATAGTTAACATTGCAAGAAAGCAATATATTAGACGTTAAGTACTTTGTCAGGCTTAATATTTATCTTTTGATACCCCCAAAGCTTTTTTCTTATTTAAAAGAAGACCATAATCTAAAGTATTATTTAATGTTTAAATAAAGGTTAATTCGTTTTTCTGTTTTGCACCTCCTCCTATTAATATCTTTGTACATCCTGTACTAAACTGTTTGATTGTAGAGATCACTTACAGTATCTTCTTGATTTTGTATACTCTATATTTCTATCACAGACCTTCTACTTTCCCTCTATGAAAGTATGTACTCTTAATATTTTTTTCATCAAATATTATATAACACATAAAAACAATAATTAAATAACGTGCTTTAACCACTAGGCGGTGCACACAAGGTACACACAGCTATAATAACTTTGTATTATTAGTGTAGGACACTTATGTATGTACAACATCTGAAGATGTGTAGTTTTATTCATGTTTTCANCTAGAAGAAGAAACGTAACCTTAAATAAAATAATAAAACATTCACAAACGTCTGGTGAGTCCTGCAACTGTAATGGAGTGAAACATGTATTTAGATAATCCGTTTGTGAATGTTTTATTATTTTATTTAAGGTTACGTTTCTTCTTCTAGTTAGCTGAGTTTCTTCCCGTTAAGTTGGTATGCATCATTAATAGGTTGTTAAATGATAAGAAGCCCTGAGATGCTGTTTCTTGCAAGATGTTGCGCCCCTGGAAACCTAGCTTAACAGGTGGCTGCTAACGTTAGCTTACAGCTTATTGCAGTGCTGCCCCCCCACCCTCGTCTCCAATACGGGAGAATGACACATAAACATGCAGTGGGGTGTCACAGTGTTGTCGCCAAGTTTAATGTAAAGTTTCACAGCTTTCTTACAGCGGAATCTAGTTTGTTAATGTTCAGTAGCCAACAGCTAGCATAGCATAAACAGCTAACCGCTAACGTTCGGCTAACTTGCTAGTTAGCTCTGCTCTATATATTACAAGCTAACATGACTAGCTAATGTCACACTGTGTGAACTAACATATTTTTGGATTACTACATCATACATGATTGCTCCAAATCACTGCTAAAATTAATTATTTTTGAGAATGTATAGTAAAGAAAAACTCAGCCATGCATGAAATAACATAGCAAAAGAATACGGTTAATGTTTGACCCATGTTGTGCCTTAGAAGTGTAGTGATAAAAACATGATTTTTGTTCAAAAAGTAAGAAAGGGAAAAATTAGAATTGGAGTTGATCCAAAACAGGTTAATTGAGGAATACCTGGAATCCTGAATGGTTAAAGTAATTTATTGCAAAGATATTTACAATTAAAACTAATTTGGGTCACTTTTGACACATGTTGGTTGTATGTAGGCCTGTCACGATAATTAATTTTGTTGGACGATAAATTTTCCTGGAAATTATTGCGATAAACGATAATATTGTCGACCGTTGTAAGACCATTTTAGACCACTGACATAATGATAATATATAATAATAATTCAAGTACAACCTTTCAAAGAAAACCNACACACACACACACACACACACACACACACACACACACACACACACACACACACACACACACACACACACACACACACACACACACACACACGTTATTGAGAGCATCCCAAGGGCATTGATTATTTCATAAGTTTAGAAGGGGGGAACATAGTCTAACAACAGTTAGCTTTTGTTAATTTTACCTCGAGCCAAACTTGAGAGACTTGTTTCTGAAATCCCTTTCTCTTAAAGTGAATACATAAAAAATAAAACACTGGAGCTTACCCTAAAACTAACCACTGGATTGCTTGTCTAACATGACCTAGTCCATAAATGAGGTAAGGGTGGGAACAATCAAACGCACCCTCCCAGGCACTGCGTGTTAGCGGAGTACAACTGGGATTTCGAAGAGGAAGATATGCTAGGTCAATTCTTAATAAAAAAGAAAAACCAACAAATGGAGCACTTGAGTTTTCATTAGCAGCGCCTAGCTACAGCTGCGGAGCTTTGGTCAATACCACTAACAGTCTATTTCCTTAAAATGGTACATATCGCTGAATCTATATTTTCATCTTCAGGTGATTAAATCTGCATAATGTCCCTGTACAATAACATTCGAGCATTTTGTAATCCAGTGAGGAAATTCAAGACCAGTAAATATTGATTGATTAAACAACACTAAATAAAATGTTAGTGTTTTCTTCAAACTCAGACTCTCTGCTGCGGCTGTACCTCAAAGACAAAACAATTGTCTGATGATCTTTGTTGAACAAGGTCTGATTGTCCTGTACATTGTGGGGTATTTTTAAATACTTTACTAAACCACATTCAATATTATGTTAGACACAAATTAGTTATTACTCACATATCAAAGTCTTTCCATCTGCAAGATGGAAGAATAGCTGGGTGCTGCCTGGAGAGACTGATGAGAGGCACACAGGCTAGCGTCAGCAGCTTTCCACACAAAGCCATCACATCTTCTCTTCCATAGTCCTCACTGTCCACTGGTCAAAAGAGTGAACATCACAGCTGTCATGTTATCCCTTTGTTACACAAAATACAACCACCATGTGTCAAAAGTGACCCTAATTAGTTTTAATTGTAAATATCTTTGCAATAAATTACTTTAACNTTGAAATAACAGCTCTTTTATAAATGTCCATCCTAGTGGAAGTCAGGACCATCTTCATGGACTTTATGACTCAATATTGTTGCAGGAGACGGAACTCCTTGAGTTCCGTCTCCTGCAACAATATTGAGTCATAAAGTCCATGAAGATGGTCCTGACTTCCACTAGGATGGACATTTATAAAAGAGCTGTTATTTCAAAACTTGAATTATTTAATTGCTTTCAGAACTAATTATATAGTTCCTCACATGTTAATAAACCAGAACATATATGATTTTCATGGTAAAAATTTCAATTATTCAACTTCTCCTCATGCTTCTATAACATTTTGTTTTTGGTATGCCAGCCATTTTGGATGAAAAGAAAACTTCCCAGCATGCAATTTTAACCAATGACATATCACTGGAAAGACCATGATGTCCTCTGTACAGTACATCAGTCATCAGGGATTGATAGAGTAGCTCAAAACAGTAAAAGGAGATGCATGTTAACAACATGTCCACTACTGTGGGCATTTTTAATGGGCTGGGTCCCAGGAGATATGCATCAAATAAAGATATCTGTAGAAATATAGAAAAAAGTTCATTATAAATTCTATAGTACTGTGACTAGCCTTGGAAGCTTTTTTACAATTGAATAAATACAAAATGTTGTTTAAATGAACACATGGTTTGATGGCTAAATATGTCAATCTCATGGACATGACAAGAACCTTTATCTATTGATTTCCCTATCAGGAATAACGCGTTTAAATATATACCAAAAAAAGTAAATGTGTTGTTTATATATTTGACTCTATATATCCCATGGAATGTATTGACATTTTTCATCTCTTGGTAAAGCCTTGTAATCAATACATGTTTATTTTCATAGTTGTCATTCCAAATGAAATGATGAGTCTATGAACACACTCCCATCTCCAATGTTGGGAAGTAGAAAATAAAGTGGAAATCAAATGAAGAGAGGATCAAAAATGTTTCTTGCCATCCGAGAGTTCCTGAACAGACACCACATTTAAACCCCTTTGTATGCTCATGTTGCACCGTTAAACCACATTTGGGTTTGATGTAATGAATAACAGCACGCTCTGCCTTGTGTGAGCGCATGTGAAGCTGCTTATCCATACAGATGGCATGTGACAGCACACATGAATAATTATGTGGAACAGCATGTGATCACAGGAGCTCTGTGAAGCTATCATGTGAGAGAGTGACATCTGCCTAAAATGCTCCTTAAATTGCAAAATGTTACACCTACATTTCTCTCTATGTCAGAAAATAGTATTTTATTGCACTTATAGTCACTAACTAAAAGATAAGTTATGCTCTTATCATTCCATCAATAATCCATCCCATCCATATTTAAGTTTGTTTAGTTTGTTTAACTTGTTTTCACCAACTGGGCAAAATATGCATTTGTTAAGGTCCCCATTTTCATTATGTCTAAGTTGGTTTGTTGAAATCTGATTACTTGCAAAACATATTATGAATATGCAGCAGTATAAATCCTCCTGAGACCCAGAAAGAAAAAGGTTTCAAATGTCCTTTGTTTTTAGATCACACAAGTCTTTAGGGTGGTATAAATATAATGACTAACAAAAACTAAAAAAACATATTTGTATTTTTGTTTTATTGTGTGTCCTCTGTAGAGGACATCAGCTGTTAGTTATGCAAGGCATAGTATACAAACAACATTAACATACAAGTACATTTAGACAACATTAGAGCACAACAACTCAATGCAACAAATAGTGAGCCCTCATTTGAAGTACTCCTCCATCCTTTTTTGAAATGCAGAGAAACATCTGACACCTGAGGCACTTGATGTATGTTTTCCCACTGCATACACCATGAACCCTACAGAAACCTACGTGTTAGTTTTGGCCCATAGTGGACTCCATTTGTGTTGTGTAAAATGGGGGGTGAAATAAAAAGTTAGCAAATCCCCATGTCCTCCTCAGAGGACATTCATAATAACATTTAGTTTTAGGTCAAATAATTATTACACTGCTCTGAAAGTCACTACACTTCTAAGATGTTCCCTTACTATAATTAATTAAAATATTGAACTCACAACGCTGCTAATTACAACATTACAAACTTACCATTTATCTTTCTATAAATAGTGCTTGTGTTGATGGACACCATTTTGAAATACAATGAAATTATCTTTTTCAAAGCCACACCCCCACATATGTCACATGTCTGAAAAGCCCAGGATGTACTCTGTGGAGTACAATTGGACTTAATGCTGTTGCATGTATAACCTCATGGACCAAAACCAAATGTCCTCCACAGAGGACAAAAATGAATGGGTGGGTCTCAGGAGGATAAGCCCAATATCAGCACTCATTATATGTATCTGTATTATCACTTCGCTTGTGTATCTGTGTTGTAGAGATGATCCGTGTCAAAATATACATGGGGGAAAAAAGAGGGTCAACAGAGGCCCGCAGATAAATTCTCCTTTATGGATTATTCTAGCTAATGGTAAAGGTTTAATATGTAATATAACAAATGTGTTCACTAATTCATAATGTTGCTTATAGTTTGACTGGTGTAACCAGCTTGTCGAAAATTTGTATTTTTTCATGGCCATGGTAACAATTGTGTTTTCATGTGTTTTTTATTACATTTTCCACAAGATGGCGTTAATATCATGAATAAGTATCTTACCCCAGCGGTTGTCAACCTCTGGCCGTGAGGGAAGGAAGCATTACTTCCACACTGGGAAAATGCTTTATTACAATATACAAGTAAAGATGTGTCAAACCTTACTTAAGTAATACTATTTTAAACAATTATAAAAGTTAATAATACAAATAATATTTATATAGTGCTTTTCCTTTTTAAAATGTTGGAATAAATTCTTAAAATGCTGCGAGAGCCTTTAATTTTTCCCAAACATATGCGATCCGTAGACTTTATTCACAGCAGACCTTTTAATTTGTTATAGCAGATGAACTAAGTAGAACTAACAACATCAATGATGGCTTTGTTCCAGAAATCATACAAAACATATGCCACCATTATAATGTAATTAGTCAGACCTGCGTGTGACTAGTCTAAATGCCTGCTTTGAAAAGGTCTATTCAACTTAATTACAGATTTCCCCAGATTATGTTTGCCATTAAGGTAGAAAAAAACTGCCTTACCCTTTTTAAAACTACAGAGGACATATTCTGCTAATTTTCAGGTTCATATTAGTATTTGTTCTTCTACTCCATTAATAAAGGTGCATCTTCTATCTTCTTCTTATAATGTTCAAGAAGGTTTTTATTTTTCTCATACTGATCATGAAACCAGAGCCCTGTCCGCCTCTGTTGTGATTGGTCAACTGCTTAGAAATGTCCCGCCCCTTAGCCTGTAACATAAATGTGTTGGAACTCTAGCCTATAAAAGTCTGAGTGTTACATAGTGATGACATTATGTACCGAAAGCAGACAAAAGAGTCCAATGGAGGCGTTTCAGGCTGGGGGGAACACAGGGATGTTATCCTTTGCAGATCATTAACATGCACAAAAACCTATATAACACACTTCATGAGAGGGAAGCCCCCAAAGAGCAGAATGGGGCCTCTTTAAGATAGGGTTTTTTTCAATTTTTTTATACTGGTATTAACTAAAAACTAAAAACTTGCTGTGCACAGAGTGGACTTCGACGTCTGTCCGTTGTGTTTTTGAGTGACATTCCTTCTGAGCAAGTAATCTTTATGTAAAGAAAAAAGGGATAGTGCATTTACATTACTATCAGCCTAGGTTAGACGGCACACCAAAGCCACATAAACAATAAGCCTGAAGGTAAAGTATGTGGTAATTCATTGCGTCTGAAAAAGGAAAAAGAGAAAAAATTCCTGTAAGTAATGCTGTAGAAGATGTGTTAAAGTACAGGGTGATCCTCTCACATACTTGTTGTCCCTGCCTGACATAAGTACGAGGCTCTGAGTGTTTGCAGATTGTATATCAACAGGACTTGTGCAGTTACTATGGGTGGGTGATATGAACACACACACATAAACTGAGATAATACAAATATTTGAACTAAAAGAGATAACTATCCCTTTAATACCACTTGTTTAGGCCTGTTTGAAATGTTGTAAATAAAAAAGGATGACTCCCTTATGCAAATATCAAATTCATAGGGTCTTAAAATACGCCATTACAAGTAAACGTCCTGAATTAAAAATGTTTCTTGAGTAAAAGTACAAAAGTATTAGCATCAACGTGTACGTTAACTTGATTATTTATTTATTATTGTGATGCTATGAACTATTTATAGTGTAAATTGGAATTATCCACATTTGTGCTCCCAGGTGTATCTGTGTGTTTTCTTATTGTATGTTCCTGCCTGTGTACATCAAATCAAATCAAATCAAATCAAAGTTTATTTATAAAGCACATTTAAAAGCGATTTTTGGTCGGGCCAAAGTGCTGTACATGTAATAAAACATGACACTTACACTATGTACA